TTTCTTGGTTCTTGGCTTCAGATGAGGCAACTGTGGATAATCTTACAAACAGATCAGAAGACTCAGGAGGCTGGGGCTGCAGATTTCTTTCCCACTGAAGCTCTTAGCTTCCCAAAGATGTTAACTGCAGTTCCTTAGGGTGCAAGCCACACCCCTAGAAAACAGGCTATTACTTTAGGCACCTAACCAGGGGAGTTAGTCCAACTCACTGGAGGCCATTCTCCAAGACTTGAAAATATATATATATGATATGCACTATTTTTTATTTTAAATTTATCTATTTACATTCATTCACTATACATCATTACAGTATACAAAATGATATTTTCCATTCAGAATACACTGTATATTGGGTCAATCAGGGATATTACCATATGTGGTATCAATAAATAATTTTCCATTTCTTGTTTTTTATATATTTTGCTTCTCCCTGCTCCCCTTGATTCCCTGCCTCTCACCCTCTGCCAATTCCCACCCTCCTCCCACACTGTGGTATCTACGGTTTCTATCCATGCCCCCCCCCCAAGTTTTATTGTTTCATAAAGATATTAATTAATCTAAGTACTTTCAGTAGCAAGCAAAGTTGATATATGCATCTCTATGAACACATGTCTGACTTTAGGTGTAAACCTCAGCGAGTAGAATGAATATACTATAAAGTAGCACCTAGCTGGAGTTATAAAGCTTACTACAGTCATTGAATAGATATTTTTAATGCATTTTTTAATTTGAAGAAAAACAGTTTTAGTAGATCTAAATAAAAAATTAGGAGAAATTTACTTAAGACTTGGAGCCAGGAAAAAAGGTTAGGATTCAGTTCAAACTGAATAGGTAGATGAACCTATCAACAGTTCAAGGGAAGACAAAAATCTTTAAATGTGGAAAACAAAGCATAGAAAAAAAATCAGTAATGTTTTAGTAAGAAATCATCAAATTCTATTTCACCAGTTCAGTCTCATGAAATTAATCTCTCTTCTATTGAATTTGCAGTATTACTGTGGTCTGATCTTTCTGTTTAAATTCTGGAAGTTAACATTCAATGTTATTCAAGTCTTTCCGGACTTGTCCCTACCTTTGAGTTGGCCATTCTCTTTGTTGCTTTCTGTACTCTTATTTCTGTGTGTCTGACTTTAGTTTTCCTGGTATAGCACTCCCTTCAACACTTCTTGGAGAGCTGGACTGGTGGTAGTAATTCTTTCGAATTTTTGTTTATCTGAGAATGTTTTGTCTTTTCTTCCTATGTGAAGGATAACTTTGCTGGGTACTGTATGCTTGGTTGAAATTGTTTTTCACTTAACACTTTGAATATATTTTCCCATTCTTTCCTTGCTTGCATTGTTTCCAATGAGAGGTCTGATGTTAGCCTGACGGGATGTCCTTTGAAAGTAACTTGATGTTTCTTCCTTGCCAATTTTAATATCTTGTCTCTATCTGTGGTTTTGGTCAATCTGGCTATGACTAAAACAAAAAAAAAAAACCCCCCCAAAAAAAAAAAAAAAAAAAAGAAAGAAAGAAAGAAAAGCAGTTTTGAATTGGCAAGGAAATTTGCTTAAAACTTAAAGCCTGCAAACATGTTACATGTTAGTATTCTGTTCAAATAGTAGGTACATGAACTTATTGACAGCTCAAGACAGGACAAAAACTCTTAAAACTAGACAATAAAGCCTAGAAGAAAAGTAACAATATTTTAGTCAAAAGTCACAAAATGCTATTTTACCAGTTCAGTCTCATGTACTTAATCTATCTTCTGTTGTGGTTCCATCTTCCTGATTGAATTCTGAAATATAATATTCAATTCCAGACTTGTCCCTACAATTAAGTTGGCCATTTTCTTTGTTTTTGAACTCTTATTTCTGTGTGTCTGCATTTAATTTTCCTGGCATAGGACTCCCTTGAGAACTTCTTGGAGATCTGGTCTGGTACTGGTAAATTCTTTCAGGTTTTGTTTATCTGAGAATGTTCTTGTCTTTTCTCCCCATATGAAGGATAATCTTGCCGGGTACATTCTTGGTTGAAATTGCTTTTCCCTTAACACTTTTCCTTTAACACTTTTCTCATTCTTTCCTCGCTCACATTGTTTCTGATGAGAGGTTTGCTATTAGTCTGATGGGATATCCTTTGGAGGTAACTTGCCTTTTCTCTCTTGCCAATCTTAGTATCTTGTCTTTGTCTGTGGTTTTGGTCAGTCTGGCTATAGTGTGTCTTGGAAAATATCTTCTTGGGCTGATTCTATTTTGGGTTCTTTGTATTTCTTGGGACTGGATCTTTGAATACCTCTCTAGATTTGGAAAATTTTCTTGCAGGATTTCATGGATTAGATTATCAATGCCCTTATGAGTCTCTCCGCCTTCTGGGATGCCAATTATCCAGATGTTTGGACATTTGATGGTATCTAGTATTTCTCATATATTATTCTCAAATTTTTGGGCAATTTTTTTAGTCTTTGTGGTGGATTTATCTAGGCCGGGAATTTTCTCTTCTATGTCTTGAGATTCTATTTTCTGTATGATCTAATCTGCTTTTAATACTTTTGAGGGCGATTTTGACTTCCTGTATTATAGCCTTCATCTCTAACCGTTCCATTTGATTCTTTTGTAAAGTATGTAATTCCTCTTTTAGATCTTGCAAGAATTTCCTCACCTCCTGGAACTCGTCAGCTCCTTTCTCCTTTCTCTTCTGCAGTTCATTGTCTCTTCCATCTCAGTTAGCTTTGCCATTATGAATGTTCTAAATTCTTTATCAGACATTTCCATGATTTCCATTGAACTGTGTGTGGATAAGGAGGAGTTATTCTTTCCCCTTGGAGGAGAAGTATTTTCTTGCTTTCCCATACTTCTCTTGCTGCGGTGATTTCTAGTCATCTGATGGATAGTATGTTTCTTCCCAAACTTGAATTTCAATCTGAGCATCCAGGAGCATGCAGAAAAGGAAACAGAGAGAAAGAAACAACAGCAACAAAAACAACCAAGAAACAGAAAAAAAAGAGAAGAAAAAAAATTAATTTTTTATTTTTTTTTAAAAGCAAAAATTAGAAAACCATGCGCCATGGAATCACTAGTTTTCAGGAGCCATGAAGGTGTCTTCTGAAGGCCTGTTCCCTTGCCTCTTCACTCCAGTTTGTGGGCTGGAGGTTGAATTATCAGTCGAAAATCTTAATTTCTTTTTTCCCTGAAATCTTTTTTCCCTTCTTGGGAGCCAAGAAGGTGTCTTCTCAGACTTGAAAATATTGAGTGCACATTTACACAATTTAAGTTTATTTTTGGAATTCTAAAAGAAATTTTGTATTATGGACAGTTTAGGTTAGAGAAGCTACCATCTTCTCATGCTTTGTTGTCTTTTTATTTTCTTTTATGATAGAGGGCATATGTGAGCATGTGAGAGACAGAGAGCGAATGAGAGAGAGTGAGCGAGAGAGAGAAAGGGAGGTGAGTATCCTTTATAGGGTCTGGTCTGGTCATGCTGGAATCTCCTTCTTCCATCCTTTCTAATTGTGAGCACTTGCTTGAGTGCCCAGCATATTTCAGTCTAAGTGGGCTGGGGATTTGAACTGCAGCCACCATGTGGAATCCGGCTTCTTTTGAGCAGTGCATTTACCACTGTTCCAGAAAGTCGGTTTTGTCTGTTTTTGTTGTTGTTGCTGTTTGTACTATGCCAGAGAGTATGTGCTTGTGCAAAAGAGAGAGCAAGAGTAAGAGAGGGAGAGAGAGAGGGAGAGAGAGAGAGAGAGAGAGAGAGAGAGAGAGATGGAGAGAAAGCATGCCCTAATGGGGCCTGTCATGCCATTATCCTTTCTTCCTCCATTTTCCCTATCCTGTCAGGGTCCTGGGCACACATGCACATGCCCAATATGTTTTCAAGCCGTTGGAGAGGAATATGAACCGTGGTCAGCCATGTGGGATCTGGTTCTCTATGCACACTGCTTAATCGCTGTACTACAGGGTTGCCCCCATGTCTCCTTTTAAATGTCATTTTTTTTTCAGGGAGACTTGCCCTAACCATCTTATCTAAATTAGATGCTTTGTGGTTACACATGCATACCAGAATTTCAAACACTTTGTAGCAGACTAGGCAGTGGCACAGGGTCATGGAAAGGTCCTGGGTTTATGTCCCTGGTCCCCCCTGAGCATTGAGGTGTGAGTATGTACCTGTGATCCAGACTGGCTGAGACTGGGGGTGGATCACAGTGTGAAGACCCTGTTGGACGTGCCTGTCTCTCTGGCTTTGGCTCTCTCACATGGAAGAAATAAGCAAAAGACATATGGAAAATGGAATTAAAGTACAAGTTTAGTTTGGTGTGAAATACATGCATAGTTTCTCCATAGTACTAATTTTTCATACATTTTTTAAGAAAAAATATATATTAGCAAACACTAATCTGGTCTTGTTATGTGATAGGCATTATTTTATTTATTTATTTATTGTAAGACTTTTGCTATAGGGCACCTGCATTCACCGGAGAGACAGAGAGATAGAAAGTGAGAAATCACCCCTTAAGGGGGATGGCCACACTCCAATTCTTTCTCCTCCTGTCTGCTTTTGAAATTTTGGGCATGCATGGTCACGTGCTCAGTGTGAGTTTCAAGGCTCCAGGTCCAGGACTTGAAACAATGTCAGCCATGTGGGAGTCCAGCAACATAACCATTACGTCATGTGCTGGTCCAAGTGGGCACTGTTTTAAAATCTTTGTAAGGCCTAACTCATTCAGCCTCACAACAGCTTATAAGGTGCTCGTTCTGAAGCATAGCGGGACCTTGCCCAGGGGTCATACAGGCACTGTTTTAAAATCTTTGTAAGGCCTAACTCATTCAGTGTCACAGCAGCTTATAAGGTGCTCGTTCTCAAGCATAGCGGGACCTTGCCCAGGGGTCATACAGCTGCTGAGTCTCAGAGCTAGGATTCCAACCCAGGCTGTCCAGTTTTATAATGGGCTTGGCCCTGTGTTCTGCTGCCCGTAATCATACCTTTAAGAGCACTGTTGTCTTTCCTTCCATGCAGATGCTGAGCCCCTTGCTCTGGTGTCCACTGGTCCCTGCACAGTTGCTGGCACAGTGGCACTCGCTTACCATCTGACGGGTGAATGAATGAGACGAGGGCTAGTTCCCACAAACTGACTACCTCAGCACGATCGTGATGATCATTTGGACAGATTGCAGATTCTCATCCCATGGGTCATTCTCATCCTGCCAGTCCTGTTGTCCTGTCATCAACTTTGGAAGAGCAGAAGCGACCAGCTGTGCCAACACACCTCAGGTGAGAGAGGAGGGAGGCGCCTCACGATGGCACCTGACTCTTGGGCAGCCTCAGGCACGCCTGTCTCTCTTGATCTCATGCTAGCTCACTCCCTCACTGTCTCTCTGAGCCTCCTTATCACTGTCTACTGTCTCATCTGCTTCTCTCTGTCCCCGTTGTGCTTCTAGACACTCTTCAAAGCCAGTGCAGTTTAAGGACACACAATAGTAGTTTTACTTTATAATTTGGGACAGTATAAAACAAGCATTCACACAGCTGGCAAAAAGTGTAAGCAGGACGTTACTTTGGAAACCTAAAGAAACAGGCTAGAATCGAATTGCCTTTTACTTTGTGGGTTCAGAAACTGCTGGAATCCCGGGTTCTGTCTGAGTGGCCCCTATGGGCCCCCTTGCATCAGCAGTGCTGCAGGGTAGCTTGAGGGTTTAGTTCCCTCCACATTTGTATTGGCCTCAAATAAACATATGGCATAGCTAAAAACAGTGTGTTTGCTCTGAAAATGTAAGTTGGAGATGAGCCCCTACCCTCCAGTCTGTAAGCACCCCAGTATGAACTCTGGGGTTCCATCTGCTCTCCTCTGGCTGATCACCTTCATAAAAGTCTTTCATAACAAGTGGGATAGAAGGCTAACTCAGCACTCCTACACCGACTCACTACTGGTTCCAGGCACATACTGGATAACAATAATAAAGGGGCTGAGGGGAACCATGAGGCAGGGGATTTCAGAAGTGAGCTAAAGAAACAACCTGCGTGGATGAAAAGTGGGAGTGCAGGCTTCATGTTGGCTGGGATGTGTCAAAGGCACACAGGATAAATAGCAAGAGCTGACTCCACAGGCAGGAGTGATCCTGTGGGCTGGAGGGATGAGGTCAGGCTTTATGGCAGGGTGGATTTGCCCTGGGGCTGGTAGATGAGTAGGGGATGGGCAGCGAAGGGTGGGGAGAGGGCATTCCAGACATAGGACAGGCATGGGACTGGGCCAGCAGAACTAGAAACACAGGCTGGGAGCTCTGCGCTGAGGGGCCCTGTTGGCAGGTCTGACTAATATGCCAGAGTCGGCCAGGCAGGGGGTGCTATGCTGAGTGTCAGGACTGCCTGTGTCAGAAAGCCTGTGAGCACAATGTGGTACACAGCATGCAGACCAATGTGGGGAGACAGCTCACACACAGAACTATTTCTAAGACCCATTCGGTAGGAGCCAACGTGGGCGAGTGTCCCTGGTCTTTCTGCTGGCGGCCAGGGCAGCATTTTGAAGGCCACGGTAGAATGGGTGCTAGTGCCCAGCATCTTCAGTGCTGGGTCGCTGTGGGAGATCAATCCTGACCTCGCCTGTGCAGGGACAGCTGCAGGGTCCTATCAGGCTCTGGTCCTCTGCTGAAATGAGTTAGCTTTTGTTTAAAGAAGGAAAGGGTGATGGAATAGGTTGGTCTGGACACATGTCCCTTTAATAGTCCCCTGGGCCAGTCTCTTCCATAGCCTGACCACCTGGGTAACCCAGAGATGAGTGGGGCCTACTTCACTCAGCGACTTACTGCCGTCCTCTGTCCCACCAGAAACCAGTCAGTTACAAGAAGTTTCCATTCCAGTCTGAGCCCTGTCAGTCCAATAACACTATGGTACCCGGCTACCCTGGCACCTGGCATACAGAGATCACTCAATACATATCTGCTGATGGAATTCCACTCCCTACATCTTCAACAGACAAATGTCTCCTGGGTTCCCCACCCTGTGAGCCTCCATGGAGGTCCTAGCTGAACCATGTCCTTACTTCCTGATTTATGGGAGGCATCTCTGTTGTTATTCTCCTCACTGGGATAACATCTACTATGCATCCCCCTTTCTCCTCTCCCGATTCTAGGCAACCAGGACCCAACCTATTGGGAACCCCCCCCCATCTGCTGGTCCCCATTGCAGGGACAATGTGGCATCAGAGCATATATGGATGGCCTCTGACCAGATGGACATGCTGCATAACCTAATACTGTGTGTTTCACTTGCCTAACCTTCTCATACCTCAGTTTCCTCATCTGTAAAATAAGGACAACAATAGTACCTGTTAAGTTGGTAGAGAGAATCAATGAGATATACATGGTGAGATTATATACACTTTCTGTGCTTAGCGTATGGATTTGCTCAGTCAGTGTTGGTAGCTGTTGAGACCATCACCTCTTGCTGGGGGACCCAGTTTGAAACACTTGGGTCCTCAGATGATCCATCTGGCTTTAGGAGGTCATTCTCTTGTCCTTGCTCATGTCCAAAATTCCCTGGACAGAGGGAAGAGCTCCCTCTCCAAAAGCTCCTTCCTGCAGTCAGTTCAGCTACACATCAGGGGAAGCCTGGCCAGGTTCCACTCCTACTGTGACAACTTGGGTCTTAGCCAGAGTCTACCCAGCTGAGTACTTGGAAAGGACAGGGCATCTAATCCCAAATTCTGATGTGTCATTGCTTCCCAGCTCAGCCAGTGACACCCTCCTTTGTCCCCAAACAAACCAGAATCAGATGTGGTGACAATCCAGGCAGGATGAGGATTCTGGCTGGCAGGGGCTCAGCTGCCTGCTTTTGGGTTGTGCAAATGAAACGAGTGCCAATGGGGCTACCTGCTTTGCCCTTCTCGACTTTAAGCAGCTTCCTGCTGGGGAGAGAAGGGCCAGCTTCACTCTGTGCTTCTGGCACAAGTCCTTGCAAAGGTGGCTTGTCTCAGTCTCATCCTTTTCTACACTGCTGAGATCCCAGGTTTGGTCTCATTTTGTGGCAAAGGGTTGGCATTCCCCTTAACCCACCAACTGTGCAACCTGATGCTTGGGCAGGAAATCACAAAATTTAAGTATGAGAATTTTTAGGAGAAAGAGAAACTGAGAAAGAGTTGCTAGGTCGAACCCCACCATTTCACAGATGATGAAAGTGAAGGCCAGAGAGAGGACAAAACTTCTACTGTTAGAGTACACAGGATGAGGAAGACACAGTTTGGACCACCCACCATCTACCCCCAGCCAAAAATCACTTACAAAGTGGGTCTCCATTGTTCATCAATTTTGCCATTAAAAAAAAAAAAAAAAAGCATTCACTGGAGAGAGGAGAGTGGGGAATGAAAAAGCACTCCCCATAGTGGATGGCTACGTTGTAATCCCTTCTCTTTCTCTCCTTTTGGGATTTTGGATGCACACTCACACTCACGCCTGGTGTTTCTCAAACTGTTACAGCTGGGACTCAGACCGCACAGTTGGCCATGTGGGATCCAGCCACCTTAACCACCACCCCACCATCTGGCCCAACTTTTGCCATTTTATTTTATTTTTCATTTATTTATTTTTTGGAGAGGTTTTAGCTATAGGGCACATACACTCGCCAGAAAGACAGAGAGAGACAGAGATAGAAAGTGAGAAATCACCCCCCAGGAGGGATGGCCACGCCGCAATCCCTTCTCCTCCATTCTTCTCTCAGGATCTTGAGTGCGTACGCACACGCGCCCAGCATGAGTTTAAGCTACCAGGTCCAGGACTCAAACCATGGTCGACTGCATGGGAGTCCAGCGACATAGCCATTACACCAACTGTTGGTCCTCAAATGTTGCCATTTTATATGATGGTTTTCTTCTTTTGAAACAGCTGAGATTTCCCCATGCAGTGCTCTCTCTGGAAAGGGCATTTTACTTAGCAGGTTTTACCTTCGTTATGAGGGGAAAACTTGAGAGCTGCAGGATCTGGTTCCTCCACTCTCAGGCTTGGAAACAAAGGAGCCCTGAGGTGCCTCATCCCTCACTGGGGAAGGAACTGGGGCCCTAGGCTCTCAGAGGGGAAGGATGTGTCCTTTGGCTGCCTTGAAGAGGCCTGTTGCCCTTGCCTCATGAACCTGAAACCTGTAAGAACCTGGAACATGTTAAAACCTGAGAGGCTGACTGCCTCAAAGCCCCTTTGCCTTGTATCTCCAGAATGATTTAGTTGTATGGGACTTGATGGTAATAACAGCCCTTGTTTCTGACCCATACTCCTCTCTCTCCCATCCATGACCCCGGCCCTCGCCTGGCACTTAGTGCTTGCCGGACCTGGAATGTTCACCTCACTGTGTTCTGATGTCATGATGAGTACCAGAATTCAAAGATGAAACTAACCTTTGGCCCCTTGGAAGGTCAGGTCTGTGACTTGTCAGTAGGTGAGTGTTCAGAGGGGATCATCCAAAGATAAGCTCATAAGTGTCCCAAATTTGTACACCCCCCCCAACTAGGCCCATCCTTTAGTGTCTACTTACATGACCTATTTTCTAGCTACAGTTGGCTAGCATTACCTGTTCTAAACATCTGGCACTACCTGCTGGCTTAGTCACCTTCCCTTAGGCTTCAAACAGATGTAGAGCCCCACCTCCTCTCCACCTTCCATCCATCTGGGGTCCCTCCCTCCCTTTTTTCTTCCTGGAGGATCTGGAGACACCAGATCCACAAGTCCTGATGTCTTTAAAAGCATCAGCCTAGAGAGTGAGGCTCATTTGAGAGCTGGGACAGTCACCTTGACTCTAGTGAAAATCCAGCTGCTAATCCCCTTTGGCTTCCAGCTGGGCACCATGAAGGCCTGTGTCCTGCTGATAGTGGCCGCGTTCTGTGGCCTGGCCTGGGCTGGTAAGTGGATATCTGGATGGGATGGGAGTAGGTAGGTAGAGGTCTTGACTAATGAAGCAGAATTGGGGAACTTGGTAGAGGGTAAAACAGTAAGACACGAGTGGATGAGCTCAGTCCTAGAGCTGGGGAGCACTCTTGGCCTGCCCTTGTCTGAGGGTGCAGGAATTGTCTCTGGAGTGGACTGGACAGTGTGGAGGAAGTTGGGAGGCTGATGGATTCATTTCATGGAAGCCCCTTCTTGGTACCTCAGAAGATCTCTAGCATCCCTTATCCAACCTGACTTTGATCTCACCAAGATTGTTTTCTGTATGGTGTAAAGTGGGGCTGGGACCTGCTGGGTCTGAGGTCTGGCTGCCCTGGGTCACTCCCTCCACTGCCTGGTGACAGATGAGGTTGTTTGACAGTGCTAGAGAGTGAGGGTGCCTGGACGCCTCTGGCCTCAGACCTGATGGTGTAGAGGAAAGGGGACACGTGAGGTCCAGTGTGGAGGAGAGACCAGCAGGTAAAGTGCTAGAAGGAAACCAGGAGGATTCCCGACCAAGAGGTGGGCCAAGCTGGGCCCATACACGGGGTCAGAGGAATGGGTCTTTGTCCCAGTGTTAGTGGCGCTAACGGAATAGGGAAGGGATCTGGCCCACAGTTATGAGCGGTGCTGGGGACGGAACCAGCAGGGGAAGAGGAACACTTTCCTGTTTAGTAGCTGTGTGAAATGCTGCTGCTGGCTTGCTAATTGCTAGTACGTGGGTGGACAGGAAGGAGTGCTAAGGGAGGGGGTTGAGCTGAGGAGGGTGGAGAAAGAATGAGCCCGATGCCCATTGTGCCCACCAGGTTGTCCCTGTACAGGACTGCTGTCGGGATGAGATAGCATAACCTATGAGAAGCTCTGATGTGGGGTGAGAGAGCTCAGTCAGTTGGAACTTCACTTATGGGTGTGATGATAAATATTCCAGGGGAAAAAACTTACTCTTGGGGTCATTTCCAATCAGGTTGTGGATAAGGAGGCCCCGAATGGAGTTTTTTTATGGAAAACCCTTGGAGGACAAAGCTGTTACCAGGCCTCTTAACACTGCCTGGGCCCTGGTGGTATAGACACAGTGGTGGAGAGTGAGGGAGAGCCCGGAGTCTCTACCCCAGACCTGATGATGTGGAGGAAGGGGACCACGAGAGGTCTAGTGTAGAGGAGAGGTCAGTGTGGAGGAGCGGTCAGCAGACGGGTTAGCCCAGCCTCCAGAGAAAACAACGGAAGACATTCGGCCCCTGGAGGTTGGGGTGGGGATATCCTTGAAGGCCGAGACAGCAGTAGCTTAGGCAGAGCGGGGAAGTCCTTGCTGCTTGTTGGTGGGGGTGACCCGGCTGTGGGAATGACAGGGAAGTGAGGGCTCCATAGATGAAGCCTCCTAGGAAGGGGGGAGAGGTTCTGTGTGGTATAGAGCTAGGACTGGGGCCTGCTGAGTTTGAGCAGCCTGGCTGCCCTGGATTCCATGTCTCAGAATTTACGTGCAAAAATAGGAATCACCTGGGGCAGCACTTCTAGCCTCAGGTCCCCATTTATGAACTGAGTGCCTGGGAACCCTCACTGTTTCAGGCGAACCGAGGCTGGAAGCTGGTTCCGAAGCTGAAGCTCCTTGACTGACTAGGTCTCCATGGAAACAGTATCTGGGGGCCTGTGAGAGGCACAGATGTAAGATGCCCCAGCCGAGGCCAAGGCATCGAGGGGCCGATGTGTGCACCCAGGCTTGAGACCAAACTCTCTTGATGGCTGGGATGGATAAGGGGTGGGCATTCTGGCAGAGTGAAGTCTTAGAGGGTGAGAGCAATTTAGCACTTTTCATGGGGACAGGGGTGACCTAAACTCCTCATGGGACTGAGAAAGAAAAGGCCAAAACAAAGGAAGGCTGAAAGAGAGAGTCCGAAATGAGGCAGAGGGACAGGCGGAGAAGGTTGCTGGGGCATGATGCAAGCACTTGGCTTGGTGAGTGTCAATGGGAGGTGCGGGGTGGTGGTGCTGGAGTGAGTGTAGTCAGGGTGACTAGTCATCTAAGTGTCCCTAGAACAACACAGAAGGTGCCTCTGAGGAGAAGTCCCTTTCCCCCTGCCCTCCACTCTCAAATCCTAGGGTCACCTTGAAGCAGATGAAGTTCACAGAGAAATGTGAGGAGCCCTGGCATGAGGTTCTTACTGGGGACAAAGTTCTTGAACAGAGATGAGAAAGCCTGCCCCGCCTGAGCCTTGGGGGTGTTCCCCTGCAGCACAGCTGACTATTCACTCCCAGCCTTCTCTGTGGCTGCCAGCGGCTGGAATGGAGTGAATTCTGTCCTTGGACTCCGCAGATCTGGCCCATTAGAGCACTGCTCTGATTGTCTGAGTTCTCTCGCTCTGGATTCTGGGGGTACTGCCAGTCTGCAGGAGCAGGCAGCTGACGGGCGGAGCGTTTCTCCTTAAGGTCTTCACGGTCAGGTTCCAAGGGAACATCGTTTAAGA